ATTTGAGAACCGCACCCCCTGAACCATTGCTAGATATTTGTAGCTCAGCCTTCAGTCCCTCGTGTAGCCGCCTTGGCTCAAAGCCCGCCTTCTTCTACCCGTGCTCGCGACGGCGGGGGCCTCGGATGCGCAGGAGAGACAGTCGAGCGCGCCCCCAGGGGGCGCCCGAGCGGGGAGGGGCCAGCGAGGGCACGCGGCGCTGGCCAGCGAGGATCAGCTGAAGCATGAGCCGGCGCCGGACGACGACGGCGAGAACAACGGCGCCGACGTCGAGGGGGGGTCCGGGCCCGGCGCCGCTTGCAGCGCCGCGCCGCGGCGCGCCAGATTCCAGCAGAGGCGGGAGCTCTGGGGGCAGACGGCGAGAGCCGCCGTGTTCGGGATGAGCAGCCTTCTCAAGCAGAGCACGGCCACGGCGAAGGTGCCGAAGCAGTGCCAGGCGGAGGGGGCGGGCTGCAGGGCGATCGTCGCCAGCCGCTGGTCCGCGGCGCGCAGGTGGAGGGCGCGATGACCGACTGCTTCAGCTACCTTATGTTCAAGGGCTGGGACGCCGACAGGGACGAGCAGATCCTGGCTGGGCCGATGTGTCTGGTGCCAGAGTTCTCGCAGACTGGCCGCCGCCTGCGACCCCGGGCCTTCCTCCGCTTGGAGGGCTGGCGCCGCTGCGCCCCTGGTTGCAGCCGACGCAGTGGGTCGCTGGTACTGGGCGTGGATAGCTTGGTGGCTGATGGAGTGTTTTCCCTATCGGATGGCTGTGTTCCTCGTCGTATCTCTCGGCAGGTACCTGGGGCCATGCAAGCCGATGGGCCTCGGGCATGGTGGGGCCATTGCGGCTGCGGCATGGTTTTCGCGCCACTGGAGTCTCTATCTGTTCCCTTCGCAGCTGCCCGAGTGGGGCAAGGCTGGTCGAAGCGGCGCGAGCTTCGCGATGGGCGTCGGCGTCGCGGCCGACAGCAGACAATGCCGCGCAGCGCCCGAGGCGCAGCGCCGAGGAGAGGGGCGAGCGCGAAGAGCGCCCGACGGTGCAAGGGAAGAGCCCGACTGAGCAGAAGCTGGCACTCCTGCCCGCCCTGGCGCGCCGGCGGCCCGCGGCGCGCGAGGCAGCTCGCGCGGGCGCACTCCGCAGGCCGCTCGCCGCGACGCTCCCCTGGCTGGCCATTTCAAAGGTCGCCGCCTCCGCGATCTCCACGCAGGCTCGAGAGGAGTCGCTGGAGCGGCGACCCAACAGGGATGCATCGCTCACGCGTGCGACCGCGCCCGCTGGCCGATGGAAGATTTGAGCTGCGCGAGAGCGCTGGGGCGCCTGGGCTCCGCCCTGAGTCCGGGCGAGGCGCTCGGGGCGGCGCAGGGGCCGCCGCGCGACGCCTGGGCGGCCGCGGCGGATCGAGGGCGACGCGGGCCGATCCGGACTGTCGGGGCCCCCCCGGGGCTTGCCCCGTGCCCAGCACAGTCCGTCAGGGAGAGAGGCTGCGAAAAGGCAATAAGATTACCCGGGGTGCCCTGCATCTTCTCCGCCCACTGCGTCGACGTGATATCCCGGCCATCCTGGGGCGCCCCATAAATTCCAGAGTTTGGCACGTTCCCGAGCTTACAGCAGTCATTTGTCGTTATTCTGGCCACGTGGGGGTCCTGGGCCAGTGCCAATTCGGGCGGTGTGGGACAAAACGCATTAAGCATCTTCTTTTGCGCATAGATCCCTTAGACCCCGCAGAGTTTGTTCGCGGGCGCAAGGGCTCTGGGGGCCTCTGAAATAGAGCTGGTAGCAAGCATTTCATTTCAGAAGGCGCGGCGGCCTCGGGCCGCAAGTGGGCGGCCTTCGCACCTTCAGATCCTTCGTTATTGTGTAAAGCCCATGGCACAGACACTTTTGCCTCAAGCGCGTGATGCTATAGCCTCCCGAGCTCTTGGCCGACAGTCTCGCCCGCCGAACCCATCCCTGGGAACCTTGTTCAGTCGCTGGGGCCCTCATCCAGTTTGGGTTGCGTTGGGTGGGTAGCCTCGGATGTGTTTGGTCCCCGCCGTGTCTGCGCGCAGATCGGCGTGTACCGCGGTCGCACCGACGCGTGGCACCTTAGTATCAGAGATTGTCCCCACTGGCAGAAAAGCAGCGCCACCTGTGTGTGCTTGCGCGGGAAGGTGAAGTGAAATGTGCGCGGTTGATGCGTCCCGTTGTCAGAATTATGCTCAAGCTTCTGCTACCCACCCCACCCGAGCTTTTTTGGGTTCCGTCGAGCGGGTCGCCTCGGATGTTCTTGGCCCCTGCCGTGTCTGTGCAAAATTCGGTAGGTATCACGGTCGCACCGACGCGTGGCACCTTAGTACCAGAAACTGTCCCCATTACCAAAAAACGAAGCGTCACCAATCTATGTACGCATGGGCACAAATGAGTATTAATGTGGAGGGGTGTTGCCGGTGGAGGCGAAGATGGCATATGCAGTTGGGCTTCAGTGTAGGTGAAGGAGAGGCGGTTGATAGAGGACACATCCGTCACAATAGGGAGCACGAGAGAGAGCGAGAGAGCGCGATAGTGAGCCAGAGCGCAAGAGACAGAGAGAGAGGGATCGCGAGAGTAGGTGCGAGGAACCACGCATGTAGAATGAGAGAGTGGGGGGGGAGAGAGAGAGAGAGAGAGAGACAGACAAAACAAAGAGAGAGAGAGAGAGAAAGAGAGAAAGAGAGAGAGAGCAAGAGACATCCAGGACGAGAGCGAGAGAGACATAACGTTATACAGAGGGTGCCCCACTGCATAACGAGAGACAAGAAGGGAGGGCGATGCGATATCTGTACATATCTGCATTTATGTCGATGCACACGTATATTAAACACATTCAAGCATGTATACAGTATACATATATGCAGGCGTCTAAATAAGCATGCGCTTCTACATATACAAGTCAAAATGATGAGGGCGAGCGATCTTGAACAGTCCCTAGGTGCGTGGCCGCAGTGAGGTTCCGCGGGGCAGATTGTCGTTTGCATTCCTCGTCGGCGCGGGTGGGTTGCGGCGCCACCCGCGTCGCGAACCCCACCCCCGCCCCCGCGTCTGTTCACTCTTATCCGCAATTGCGAGGGGAGTAGTGTATATAGGCAGGGGGCGAGAGAGAAAGAGAGAGAGAGAGAGACAGACAGACAGACAGACAGACAGACAGACAGACAGACAGAGAGAGCGAGAGAGACTGGCATGGAACAACGGATGTATGAAGAGAGAGACCAGCGAGAGAGAGAGAGAGAGATATAGAGCGAGCGAGTCAGAAACTGGGAGGGAGAGCGACCGCGCGTGAGAGCGCGTGGGCGCGGCAGAGAGGTGGGGGCGGAGAGGGAGCGGACGTCGCGCGACGGACAGAACAAGTAGCCCGCTTCTGGCGCTGGCGGCAGCAGCGCAGCGACGGGCACGCAGAGCGGGAATCGGGCACAGCGAGGGGCCACGAGTCACGGCTGACGGGCAGAATTTCCCAGTTGAAGGTGCCTCGCCGTGTGGGATCGGTTCCGTGTGTCAGTTCGGACCGGAGCTCGGAGTTAGGAGGGGGATAATCATGAAGGGAAGAGGGCGAGGGGCTGAAGTGCGCCATCTCGTCGCAAGTCGCAAGGCTCCCTCCTCGAACATCAAGATCAAATAAACTTGCGCAGCGCATGCCCTATGATTGTTCGTGCGCGCGAGGCGCATTGGTTTTCGCAATAAGCTAAAGAGAGAAACGTCATCAGACCTTGCAGTTGGCATACTATATATAGGAAACGTGTGCGTGTTGCCATGGATTTGGAACATCCGACATCCTGCGCAGTTGGTCAACAATTCTAGCCGTGTGTTCACAAAGTGCACGGTGGCCTCACGCGTAAGCCATATCTTGAAATTTGAGCCGCCTTCTTCCTGCAGAGTTGTTGGGGACGCCAAGCCGCGGAGAAAATATACAGCGGCAGCCACATGTTGGAAAATTACCACTCTCTTTATGCTAATATGTGATCAGCTTCACCATCGCACATTGTGATGAAGCCCCTGACGCTAACCACAGTTTGTCAACCAGCCGGCCGCCCTCCCTCGGTGTAGCTGTTTAGTGCCTGAAAGGTATTTGTGCGCGGCGATCACGCGAGGACTATAGTTCCCGACAACGGGCACCCTCCATGAACACGTTCGAAAAGAATGCGCGCGGCACTCAGTTCATAGCCTTTTTCCCCAATTAGGCTTGCCTAAAGGGTTCTTACTTTAGCGGATCCTCGGGGGCTTATTTTGCCCGTTCCTCAGAGATTCCCCGGGTTCCTCGGATTCCTCCGGTTCCCCGGGTTCCTCGATGTTCCTCGGAGTTCCTCGGATTCTTCGGGTTCCTAATGCGAAGCAGTGCCAAGCAATGTCAAGCAATGCGCCCATGCAATAGGATGTTTTCCCCTTATTTTGGTCGCGCCGGGCTCATTTGATAACATGTTGCACTTTGCCCGTGTCGTTCTTAGGATTGCGTAGACCGTTTGCCGATTGAAAACGAACCACCACCATCTGCTTCATTGTTGGTGCGCCAAGTAAATGTTGATGCGTCCAAGCGTTGCGATCAAAGTTATTGGCGATTCGCGCGCGAGATTTGCATTGATGAAAGCAGGCGCCCTGTATCCATGCAGTCGCTGGAAGTTGTCAAAATTGCCCAGCGCTAAAGCGAGGCCCACACTATGAAAATGAACCGCCCTCTAACGTACCTCGCAAGAAGGTGTCGGGTGAAACTCCCAGGCCGTCTTACCGAGACGTGTACTGGCACGGCGAGGAAGAGTTAGTCATAATGAAGTTGTATCGACGAGGAGGTGGGCGACGAGAAGGAGGAGGAGGAGGAGGAGGAGGAGAAAAAGGACGGGGTGATGACGTCACGAGCAGGACGGCGAGAATGGGGGAGGAGGCGGGGTAAAGGAGGAGGAGGTGGAGGAAGAGGATAAGCATGATGAGCTGAAGGAGGGGGAGGAGGAGGAGGAGGAGGAGGAGGAGCTGCCCGCCTCCGCCTGGCACACGTTCCCCCGAAGCGTCCCAGAAGGTCCGTTCCTCGCCGTCGCCTTCGTTCGCTGCTGCCAGCTGTACGAGAGCCGGGGATTGTGACCTCAGGGAGGCCGTCGGCTGCCAGCGGCCATAGGCCGCCTGCGGAGGAGGGGGGGGGAGGGGGGGGGAGGGCAGCAAAGTGGCAGAGGGGAGGGAGGGCGAGAAGGTTGAATTCTGGCGGCTCACGACGAGTCCGCGAGGAAGGGGTAAAACAGGACAGCGTGAGCCGAGAGCATGGCCTCGCGTGCGTGTCGCGAGTGAGGGGGACCGGGGAAATGCACTGAGAGGCCCGAGCCCCCCTGTCGGAGCACGGGGCCCCGCGCAGCGCCACGCGTCACGACGGCGGTAACTTGGGGCGCAGCCGCTTCACAGTCTGAGGACAGCCGGGCGGGGCAGACGTCGGAAAGCGCCACCAGAGTGCATGTTACATACTCCAGATTTCGTAATAAAAGGGAGGGGGTCTGGACCCTCCAAGACGAGCCATTTCAGACCCCCCCTGTGGGAGAACCCTCCAAAACATCGCCCCCAGACCCCCTCAGGCCCTCCAAGATAGCCTGGAAGAGACCCCCCCCGAAATGAGACCCCCCTCCCTTTCTAACGAAATCTGGAGTAGCACCCCGCAGTTGCGGATAAGAGTGAGGGGGCGGGCGCGGGTTGGGTCTCGGGAGGGGCGCGGATGAGTCGCGGGCGGATCGCGGGGTGGGCCGCGGGTCGGTTGCGGGTGGGTCGCGGGCGGCGCGGGCTGGGTGGCGGGCGAGACGGTATATTATTTGATGTGCAGGGGGCAGTGCAGCATTGTCGGTTTGGCTTGGTTGCGTTCAGGTTGGACCTGAGAAGCAGTTTCCAGCGCGCTTCTTCAATGGCTCTCTGATTGGGCAGGCCCGTCTGCAACACGTTCACTTGCAAATGGCGTCGTTCTCTTCGGGCACCGCCACCGTCGCCGCCACAGGGGTGACTGAGCCAGGTTCACGTTGTAGTGAGGGAGGTGAGGAGTAAGAGGAGGGGGGGGAGGAGGAGGAGGAGGAGGAGGAGGAGGAGGAGGAGAGGGAGGAGGACGACGCGCAGAAAAAGGAAGATGAAGGTGGATGAGGGGATGGAAAAAGGAGTACGAGGGGGAGGACTATGAGTAGAGGAGGAGTTGGAGGGAGAGACAGGTGAGGGATAGGAATAGGAGGGTGAATACCATAATGATGATGACGATGGTGAGGAGAAGGCGAAGCAAGAAGACGATCAAGAGGATGAGTGGGTTGATATGCTTGTTGTTGTTGCTGTTGTTGTTATGCATTGTGATGCTTCTTATGTCATGCTCTATCTTCGGGTGCTGTGCGGTGTCGCACTTGCCAATCAGCTCTGAAACATGTGCGACGCAGGTGCCGCAATGGAGCGGCCCCCTCGCACTCTCCTTTGTGCTTCGAGCTGCAGGCGCTGTCCTCCCCACTGCCAATGGTATGTGTCGCCGCCGTGGTCCGCAGTTGCGGCCCATGCGCCATCACCGACTCTCTCGTTGTCTTCGCAGCTCGGCGATCAAGAAACTGTAGCAGCCTGCTGCCTCTCCTGTGCGCTGCCCGACGCGGCCCTCCATTACCGTGCACGGGCCCCGTGCGCTCTCGGCTCGCCCTGCCGCCCACGGTCGCCCGTCTCGGACGTCCCGAGCGGGCGTGACGAGCACGGCGGGCGCATCAAGCAAGACATCGGCCTGCCGGAAGGTGCCCCACAGAGATGTCTCATCACCCGATGGCCCCTGGGATACAGGGAGGCTCCAGGGCCCGCCTTGGGAGCCGGAGAGATGAACAGACTGCGTGCCCGAACATGTATCAGGGAGCAAGGTTTATTCTCGTGCGGGCTTGCTGCGCGGCTCCCGCTGGTCGGGTGGTTTCCAGTTCGCTTGCTCGTTGCAGGCTGAACGGAACAGCGGAGGAGGAGGGAAAAGGAGAATGAGGAGGAGGAGCGATAGGATGATGGCGGGGAGGAGGAGGAGGACGAGGAGGAGGAGGAGAAGGATGATGAGGATGATGATAATGAGGAGGAGGAGGAGGAGGAGCGTCAGGACGAGGACAAGGACGGGGATGGTGATGATGATGATGATGATGATGATGATGTTGATGTTCATGTTGATGTTGTTGATGATGATGATGCTGATGAGGATGATGATGTTGATGTTCACGATGATGATGATGCTGATGATGATGCTGATGATGATGATGGTGATGGTGATGGTGATGGTGATGGTGATGATGATGATGATGGTGATGATGCTGATTTTCACGACGATGATGATGATGATGATGATGATGCTGATGATGATGATGATGATGGTGATGTTGATGCGAAGGATGAGGAGGATGAGAAGGATGAGGAGGATGAGGAATAGGATGAAGACGACGAGGACGACGAGGAGGAGGAGGAGAAGGATGATGATGATGATGATGATGGTGATGGTGATGATGATGATGTTCACGATGATGATGCTGATGCTGATGCTGATGATGATGATGATGATGATGATGATGATAATGATGATGATGATGATGATGATGATGATGATGATGATGATGATGATGATGATGATGATGAGGATGATGAGGATGATGATGATGATGAGGATGATGATGATGATGATGATGATGCTGATGATGATGATGATGATGATGATGATGATGATGATGATGATGTTGCTGCTGCTGCTGATGATCATGATGATGATGATGATGATGATGATGATGATGATGATGATGATGATGATGATGATGATGATGATGCTGATGGTGATGATGATGATGCTGATGAGAAGGATGAGGAGGATGAGGAACAGGATGAAGACGACGAGGAGGAGGAGGAGGAGGAGGAGGAGGAGGACAAGGAGGAGGAGGGCCCCCCCGTCCAAAGGGAGGACGAGAATCGGCGGCGCGCCGAGGGGGGAATGATACGTCTTCTGGCGTTGTTGTGGGTTCGCGGAGGTGTCTGTCCAGCCTCGGGGCGCTTTCCACGAGCGGAGCCTGGCCGAGGGCGCTCGGGGGGGAGCTCGGGCCATCCCGAACGGCCGCCAGAGATCAGAGCTCTGACCCGAGAACCGATCTCTGCGGCGCGTGGAGGGGAGGAGCGGGAGGAGGCAGGCCTGCTCAGAGGGCAGCGGGGCTTCCCGGAGAAGTGCACGGCCGCCCGAGATGCCCCCCACACGGCCCCGGAGAAGGCCGGGGAGGCCATCTGAGCCTCCTGAGGAGTCCCGCGTCCCGCCCCGTCTGCCTTCCCCCCCGTCGCGCGCCACCGAGTGGAGGAAGTGGATGTTGAGGAGGAGGAGGAGGAGGAGGAGGAGGAGGAGTTTGGTGTCGGAATCGGAACCGGATCCACCGCAACGCGCCACGGCAACTGCGCTCTTTGGGTCTTGCGCCCCTGAGAAGTCTGTCGGCATGGTCTCGCCTCTCGGGCGTGCGTTGGGCTTCCAAACGTGGTTTGGCGATGTCACGGATCTGCTCCGAGCCGAATCGAACACATTTGCGATTCTACCACAGATGATTCACAGCGCAATATAACATGGTGTGCGAAGCGTGAGCGAGGCCACCACCGATGTGCACATCTTCTGATCCTGGGGCCGCCTGGTACACGAGATCAGCTCGGACAAGAGCTGGAGGGCAGCTGGGCGGAGGAGGAGGAACAGCAGCAGGCTCGGACGATTGAGGATTGTCAGGCCTCTTGCCGGTTCAAGTTCGCTCTCATTGACCTCTTCCGTATGAGGCAAGCTTTCCTCTCGATCTCCTGTACACTCGCTCTCAGATTTGCTGACAGCTCGAACGTTTTGCGACAATCCCCGAAAGCTAGTCCGCCACAGTATTTCCGACCACAATGTGGGAAGGTAGGTTCTTCCTCCAGATTTCGTTAGGTGATCGGTGCGAAGGAATCCACAGGACCACAACCTGATGCGTCCTGCTTCAACAACGCACCGATGGTTCTTCAGTTAGCGGCGGGCCCCCCACCAGGACGAAGGTATGTCTGCGACCATCACCCTTCTACCACGGCGCCATTGTCCGACCGGCGCGAAAACTTCTGGACCCTGGGTATACTTGACGGCAAGCTCCAAACACGCAAGCTTTCCCATGCAATAGTTTGTTGCGGCCCAACCAACATGCCCATACATAACTTAACAGGTAACAGCAGGAAGTTCAGGGCAGCAAGTGGACATTTCAAGACCCTCTCCTGAAAAGGGGGTTCTTGATGTCAGGACTTCCTCGGGCATCCCCGAAAACGACAGCGAACCCGTTCCCTTTTTCAACTCAGATGCGCCCCAAGAGGAAGGGTAGAGCGATACTCAACATAACAAATCGCAGGGGGGGTCGGAAGGGGGGTGACCCCCCCCCCCCGGCGCTCAAATGGCAGGGGGGGGGCTAGGGGGGGGAAGCCCCCCCCCCCCCTCGCAAACGAGAGGCTGGGGGAGGGCTAAGGGCCCCTCCCCTCCCCCAGCGAAGGGGGGGCGTCAGAGAGACAACCCCTCCCTTCGCTCTGCCTTCTTTCTCGTCGTTCCTGGCGCGCTGGGGGGGGGGGGCCCTTCCAGGTGCACAGCGGGTGATTCCCCCCCCCCCCGCGGCTGTGGCATTTCGCTTCGTTTCTGCAGCGCTGCAGTTGTGGAAAGTATTATTCTTCCTTCCTCCCACCGTGCAGGCGAAGGAGGAGGAGGAGGAGGAGGAGGAGGAGGAGGAGGAGGAGGAGGAGAAGAAGGGAGAGGAGAAGGAGGACGCCCCTGGCGCCACTGGCGATCGGAGCGAGTGGTCCCCGGGGTTGCATCGTGCTCTGGCTCGGCCCTCGGCGAGTCCAGCTGTGGCGAGGACGGCTGCCCAGGATTTCCCAACAGAGCGAGCACTGGCTCGCTCCGGAGTGCGCTGGCAGGCCCCGGGGCCTTCTTTTCTTTTCTCTCCTCCGCCACCCTCTGAACTTTCAGTCTCGAGGGATCTCAATTCTCGATCGATTCTCCCTCCTCGATCTTCGATCAAACCTCGATCCTCGCTCTTCGAGCGAACCTTGATATTCGATCTTCTCCTCCTCCTTCTCCTGTCACTAGTCCTCCTCCTTAGCATCAGTGTCGTATTCATCCTCCTCCCTCTC